GATGTCCACTTCTCTGCCTACCTACTATTCTGCCCATTAATCATTGCATATCTTGTGTTGGATTTGTACTGAAACAAAGGCAACAAGTGCCAAAAATGTTTCAAGTGCAGGGGTGCATTACAGCCAGAGAGGGTAGGTTCTACATCAGAGGACACTGCCCACCATGAAGCAGTAATGGGCACACTTTATTTCTGCAACTAGAAAACATTATCGAACAACTCTGCAACATAATCTCTCTGTGACTAGTCCCTTGTATGTGGGCAGAACACGGACTAAGCCAACTCAATGTCTACTCCAAGCAAAATATATACTTTACTTATTTTAGTGTGGAATGCAACATTTATTTTATGTGCCTGTACTGCAGTACAATTGGTTGAAAACCGATTTTAATTTCTTACACCTTTGTATATACTTTATATAGGGTATTGGTTTATTTAAGATGAAAATGTTTGGTGGGAATTGAAAGCTTTGCTTATGGAGCTCCAGACAGAACCTGAGGCCGGTAATGCTGTGGTGTTCCGAATCTGGCCAGTATCCTGTGTGCCCTGTAAGATAGGAAGAGATTGCACTTTTTCTGCACTGATTTGCTGGTATTGTAAGCTTCTTTTGTGTCGTATCCACTAAGGCTCCCAGCACACAATGCATAATGAGATGACTGTTCAAGGATGTTTCAGAAACATCTACTTCTCTGATATGGCCATTATACATTTAATAATACATTGCTGGCTTAATGGTATGCTGACAAAATGTGCCTAATATATACAATTTAATATGTAAACAAACACAAATACACTGTACTTAACATTGGTTTCTGATATTTTCTTTACACATTTTAAAAAATGTTTTAATTTTTTTGTTAAGGGGTTAAGACTTTTGTTATTTGGTTGTAACTTGTAAAGAAGAAAATATAGTATATTATAAATTTGACATGTACAAAAGTTATACATATGATCTCGGTATAATGTGCAAATTATAAAAATATATTGTAAAAAAAATCACTAATAAAATTAAAGTGAATGCAAATTGTTTCCATTTTTAAATGTAGCTTTCAACAGGGTAGTTCTACATGGGGGCTTTATATAGGAACAGAATACATCGGGGCAGAGACTGGAGTGAGCTGTCATTGGACAGCTCAGTTCACAGTCACAAGGTACAGAACCAATCAGAGTGCCTCTGTACCTTGTGATCACTGTAAGCCAGTCACAGCCAACACAAGTGTACACCCCAGTAGTGTTTACAAATTCTAAACTCCTTCACAATGGAGGAAACTACAATTACAAATTACCATGAAAGAAATTATTCATAATGATCATTGTTCCTGTCTTGTTTCCTGTTTGGACACAAAACTTGTCAACATACAGATTATTCAGCCTTTCCCTATACAATGGCATCTGCCTGTGTTCTTTTCTGTTCCTGTGTTCTGTATTCAAATGACTAAACATGTTATGAATATCTTTTGATGACGCTCTGCTCCTGATTTTGTTCCATTTTTCAGGCTTCCATCGTCTACTGTTGTAAGACAATTGCACCAAACCAGTCTGTCCAGTTTTATGGCCACATGATTAACAGTGTCCTTTTCCTACTGCAATACAGGCCGTGGCCTTATATGCTGGAATTACTGGTTAATGTATTATGACAAATACCTTTTAAGTCCAGAAAGTATGTTAATCCATTTTGGCAAAAAAAATCTAACATTACAGTATCGTCGTTGTAAGGCCAAAAGCTCATTATGTTGCAGTAGTTTTGCAGTGCTTTCCTATCCCCCCTCCCCTTCTCCACGACAGCGCTTATTACAAATATTCCAGCCTTGGTTTTTCTCTCTGCTGCACAGTTTGATATAGAATTCTACTCAATGCAATATGAAACGAAGTTGCTTTTAAGCAAAATGTTATCTGTTTTCAACAGGTTTTTGTCGGAGTGAACTCTAGGTGCTGGAACAGATCCTTATTGTGCTACAGATATGGACTTCTATGATAGAGTGATATGTATTTTAAAAGCAATATCTGGTATAGTGAAGTATTGTGTAGTGCTGTTACACAAGATAGAGAAAGAACTGAGATTTCTCCAAAATACTTTTTTCTTTAAAGCTGAAATCCAAGCAGATATAGAAACACCAGTTAAAGAAACGTCCCCAAAAATGCAGCCTGCAAAACAACTGTATGGTTACTTAGATGTCCACCTGCCTGTGTCGCCAATCTTTACTCTGAGGGCATGCACTAATTACATAGTGCTAAAGGTAAATGTATGAGCAAAAAAATGAGCTATAAATGATTCTGACGAGGCCAGTATAGAAGCTAATATATAAGTATAAAACAGGACTAGCTTCGTAAAAAAGTATAGATAAACCAGTCTAACCAAAATGCAGAAAACAATTAGAACCAATAAAATTCATTCCAATGGAATAAATAAACGAACAATGTTTAAAACGTCAAAATCAGTGTCCAATGTTTAAAAAATCCAAGTGAAAGGTGCCACCCCCCTTCTGAGGAAGTCACATGACGAAACGCGTCGAGGAGGGTAGATGCTAATTTTGCCAGACACGAGGCTTCACGCTTGTCTCTGTGCTGTTTTTAGCTGGTTGATATTTTTTGTCTTGTAAGCCAATTTTTGGAATAAAAGTTTATGGCTTTATATATTGCGCAATGAAGGTTTTTTCTTTCTCTTTTATTCATCTCTGAAAAACCCTGCGGGACAAACGGCAAAGTATTTTTTCTATTCCAAAAAAACCGGACTCCTCATCTGGGAGATATAGCCAAACGGCTTAGAGGAGAAAATCAACTGCTTAAGCTGCCGAGACCCGCGGGGAATACGTCTGTGCTAAAACCCAATCCCGGCACCACTCACTAAAAGTTTTCTACCAACTTCACTCTGGTGAGTACCCACCCGAGAGGGACAGTTCGGAACAATTCGAAGCACATTGCTGTTTTTGCACATTTGTACATTTGCACACGGAACTTACCGTTCACCTGTTACCCGAGAGGGACAGTTTGGATCAATCTCAAGTACACTGCTATTTTTGCACATTTTTATTTGCACATGGAAACCACCTTTCACTTGGATTTTTTAAGCATTGGACACTGATTTTGACGTTTTAAACATTGTTCGTTTATTTATTCCATTGGAATGAATTTTATTGGTTCTAATTGTTTTCTGCATTTTGGTTAGACTGGTTTATCTATACTTTTTTACGAAGCTAGTCCTGTTTTATACTTATATATTAGCTTCTATACTGGCCTCGCCAGAATCATTTATAGCTCATTTTTTTGCTCATACATTTACCTTTAGCGCTTTGTTTCTTTCAATCATACTAGGTTCCACCTTTTTTCAGAGCAGCTTTGGGTTT